AATAAGTATTTTTAAATTCTTAAATTTGAATTTATTTGAATTTATAAGCAAATTTTTACAAGCAAACTATAAGATAGAAAAATTATAGTATCATATTATTTAATGTTATCATGTGTTATGACAAAATGAAATACCACAAAAGAAATGCTGTGCCCTGATAACATTTCAACAACAGATTGAAGAAGATAACACTGACTGTATTTCATCAATGTAAATGTTAATTTAATTTGGCAATAGTAAAAATTGAAATAATTAACAAAATATAAGGATTTTAATAATTTTGTCATTTCTGTTAATTTTTTTTCTAGTTCCAACTATTGAATTGATATAATAGATAATGAAATAACTAGACATTTTTAAGATTTTTAGCCTATTAGATTGATTTCCCTTTGTACCATTTCTAATTCTGTGTGATGTGCATTCCACAATTCAAAATAAGATCTCTTCAAGAGACTTAAATTTGTTTCAAGATTTTTTTTGTTGTACTGATTTTTGATGACAGCCCAATTTATCTATTTTCTTTGAAGTTTTAAAATGATACATTTTAGATTTTTCTGTCAAATTTTAATTGTTACTAGGTAGTTGAGAAGATATGTGCCATCAACCACCAAAGGTCTATAAAGATCTCATTTAATTCATTAAAGCAGTTCATATATTTTGTTTTTCTTGTATATTTCCTATGTGAAATAACTTCTGAAGCACAGGCTTTCTTAAAGAAATTTGTCTTCAGTATTTTTTATTTCTTAGAAACGTCTCTGTTGCAACAATATTCAATAAATAAATTCTATATAATAATAATCCAATTTCTGTATGTTTGTTACTATAATACAGCAAAATTGGCACATTATAGTGTAGCTTTTCTTAGTAGAAGATCAATAAAGTGCTCTACCTTGAGAAAGCAATTTCCTGTTCAACTGGACCACCTGTCTCCAATTAATTTTTAATAAATTATCTATAACATATATCCAGGTTTATTATAATGTTGTTTCCCTTTTTATTAAAAAGAAAATAATAGGAATAAACAGGGAAGGACCCTAAGTAATAATTAGCATTTGCAAATAATTGATATAACTTCTATAACTAAAATGTAACTTGACACCAGGTAGAGGCCACTGAAAGTAGCATTTAAACAAGTTTGTATGTCTCAAACATAACCAAGTGAATCTATTTTGCTGCAAAAGCTGATCAATCCAGCTAGCACAAACACATTGGTACTTTGTAAGGTACAAAAACTTTTGAATGAAAATTGACTTCATTCATTAAAAATTATCCTGTAAAAGTTATCAAATGTAACTCTAAACTTTGTTTGTTAGAACAGAAAACTAATATTAAAATTTAATGCTAAATAATGAGAGGCCTTTTCGTAATGAGATCTCTGAAAAGTAACTAATTTTATATCTGATAATAGGCTTATCTTCTTGTAGCTTAATACAACCAAATGGTACAATTATAATTTTATATTATGTACATCTTACATCAAAATCCAGAAGACCTGATATATGTTCTTCTGGAACATTAAATTAAATTCAGTAGCCTCTGATTTTCAATTAAATATTTAAAATCAGAATGCAACATTGTTTTCATCAGTCTTTGTACAGAAGCATTATAAACAAGAAGTTTATCTAAAATCCAAGAATTGATTATCTATCAACTCAGTATATTCTTGAAATATCTTGATAGTTATTTTATTTTTTAGGACAGAAATCATTTCTGTCTGAAATTATAATTAACTAAAAATAAAAAGTTATATTTTCATGGATAGCAATAATTGTGCCTAAACAGCTGTCATCAAGAATGTTGTGTGACTTAACAAATTTAAGTCAGCTGGTGATATAAAGTTTCAATATGAATATATGTCTTTGTGGTATAAACCCCTTCCCCACCTCACTGTATTTTTTACCTTACTAGTACAATTATTATTATTATTATTATTATTATTATTTATTATTATTCCCCACATCTGGTCTGTGATCATGTGCTTCTCCAATTAACTTTTTTCTGATTTCACATTTTCAAGGCCACTTTCAAACCCCCTCCAGCTGAACGGCTGCAAAATGCTCACGGATTGAAGCTGAAGGCTGGCTAGGTTGACATTTTTTTTCCCTAATAGTATGTTCTGTTTGCTTTTCCATCCTTTCCTCAGAACGTTTCTTTTGCTTTTTTTTTAAAAAAAAATATTGTAAAACTTTCTCTTCCTAATATGTAAAATTCAACTGGGTTCTCATATAAGATAGCCATTCATAAGCAAAACAAAGTTTGCAATGCTGAAAACATATATTCAGATTGGTTAGCATCAGAAAAGGTATCCTGCTTGAAAATCTGTTCTCTACAAAATTTGCAAGATATGTCACATGTGCAAGAAAAACTGTCATTAGTAGCATCAGTTATTATTTGCTTCAATATAAAACATGCATCTAGCACAGGAGAGTTTACTATAACAAAAAAAAAAAAAAAAAAAAACAAATGTTCAATGCTAATAAAACATATTGGATTTATGCTTTAAAGTATTTGTGTAGTTAAAATTTATTTCAAGACAGACAATAAACTTAATATTTTATAAAGAAAAACAAAACAATTCAAAATAATCTCTTAAATGAAATATTGTAAGTCATTATTAATATTTACTATTTCTTTCATCTTATTATTGTTGCTTTTTATTGAAACTCCAAAGCAACACAGATTATAAACAAAGAATATGCCTTCAGTGAGAGTTGAACTTATCTTATATCCTTAGGTGCCAGAATAGTGATGACAGCACTTTACCTTACTGATCAGGCAAACAAGCATAAACTATTCAATGTTGATGATGAAAAACATTTTCAAAATGTCTGAATATCTTTAAAGCATTTACTTGTATGTTTACTTTGATCAACTATTTATGTTTATGTTTTATATTCTATGAATGAATAAGGATATGGAAATATTTTTGTAATATTTCTTGATACAATATTTTCAAAGAAATCAAAATATTTAATCAATATTTGATTTATAATGTTCACATATTTACAGCTCAAAAATATTTTTAGATTTGTAAAAACATAAAAGTTAATATTTAAGTAAAGTGTGTGTGCATGTGTGTGTGTATTTTGTATTTTTTCCTATTTGAACTGAGATAAAATGCAAAGTTTGAAGTTTGTCACCTGGAGTCCTGTGAACAGATGACTACTTTGTCTTTCCATTGTCAGATGTGTGGGTGTGTGAAGAGCAGAGAGAACAGAAATGCAGTTTTATCTAACTCTCCTGAAATACTAATGATTTAAGCAATCACCCAGTATTATAAAGAAAATATGTGAAAGAATGCAATTTTTGTAGAATTTTATAAAATTGATATTTTATCAATTTTATAACTACAATAATGTTTTGATTGGCAAAATTGTAATCCTTACAAATATATATTATTTTATAACAATAATATATAATTTGATAATTTTTTTCTAAAATTTAAATAATTAATATATAAATCAAAACTCAATAATTATTGAGGCTAATTTTAAAAGGTTGTTGCAGAATTTCATTAAGATTAACATGAAAGACTTCATAATTCTAAGCAAACACATTTTATGTTGAAACTTTTGGCTCAGTATAAAAAGTGCTTTTTTGAGTTGTTTACAAAATTTAGCCAATCAAAATTTAATTGTAGTCCCCTTTTCTGGATATTGAGCAGAAGATGGCCACTTGTTCTTCATGCACAAATCCATGGGAAAGGTTTTTTTTTTTTTTTTTTTTTTTTTAATAAACTGAGGAAAAGGGTGTAAAGCAAGCAGCATACTTCAGTTGTAATACCAAAGAAAAGGTAAACATATCTATATATGTTCAACCTAATTTTAATCTCATTTCACTCTTTTCAACTTGACAGGAAATGTTCACAAATGCTTGCAAATATATATATATATATATATATATATATATATATATATACACACACATACATTTCAAATGTGTGATATGTACATTTGGTTTCAAACTCTAACCAATATATTAGCTTTATTTTAGTTTACTTACTCCAAAACTACCATTGTTACTCAACTTGAGTAATGTACATTTGAAAATTTCAACTAAATTTTTTTACAAAAAGTACTTGTGAACAAACATTTTTATTTGTATGTCATGTATTCTACAGTATCATTGTTACCAAAGCAAAATTGATGGTTGAAAATAGTTAGCCTAAATAAATTTCAGTAAAACTTATAATCTAAAAAATGTCAATTAAAAATAACAAATATTAATTTTTTTGAATAGATTTTTTTATTTTGGGTATTTCATGTAATTGAAAAACAAATCAGCCCATTAACCAACAATTTTGCTTTTATACAAATGTCAAAAAACCAAGCCAACCATATAGGGTTTATATTTTTGGTTACTTTAAATATTTATTAATAAAATTGTTATAGTTAAGCTTAACATAATTCAGTTTTCATAATTCAGTTGTCTATTGAATGTAAAAAAAAAAGTTAAGTTTAATGAAATCATAGTTCTTTTTTTGTATTTTTTTCTAATAGACATTTTTTTAACTTAACCATTCAAAATTACTTTTGTTGAAAAGATATTATAATTATCTACATTTAATTTCTTTTTTTTATAATAATTATTTATCTTCATACTTAGTAATAGGTTATATCTACAACTTTTACAAAGTTGATGGTTTGCTTGGTTTCCTCTGTATTTAAAAAGACCCAGGAAGATGACAACATAAAAAAATAATTTTTAAATTTCAAATGTCTTTAGATATATACATGTTTATAAAATTGATTCATTTTAAAAATATTACTCATATACAATTTTGTATTTTAAAAAAAAAAAAAAAAAAAAAAAAAAACTGGTAAAACTGTTTAAAATATCTTTACTCCTCAAAAGGAATTCATTTTATCTTAAAATTTCTTCAACAGACATTTTCCTGGTCAAAAAAAAAAAATTTGCATATAATTTAATTTTTTTTTTTTACAGCCCAATCCATTTTTTTTAATATGATACTAATTCAAATGTATTTTACTTTTGTTCAGTTTGGAATGTTTGAAACCATGACAAGTGCTTTCATGGATGAATTTCCTGAATTGCTTCGTAAAAAGAAAGTGCTCTTCACTGCAGTTGTCTGCTTTATAGAGTTCCTGCTTGGCATTCCTTTTATCACACAAGTAAGGAATTTTTGTTAATATGCTAATAAATCAAAACTAATCTTTAAAGAAATATAATGTTCAACCAGTTATTATAATTTATATTAACAATGATTAGAATAAATACAAATACAAATCTACATTGTTGCAGAAATCCTATTTGGTAATTTTATAATATTTGATACTATTATATACACTCAAATGAATAAGAAAGATTTTATCACTATCTCAAATACTTAAAAGTACAAAGCAATTTCTTACATAATAAAGATGTTGGTCATAATATAAAAACCTTTCTTTATTTTTTAGAATTTATTTTAATCATTTTTAATTTTAATTTTATTTTCATTTTCCAGGGAGGTATCTACTTGCTGCAGGTTGTGGATTGGTACTGTTCAACTTTTTCTTTGATGATCCTGTCTCTGACTGAATGTGTGGTGATTGCTTGGATTTATGGTAAGTAATTATTATATTTCTTAAAACGTTATTCAATATTGTAATAATTTTTTACTAGTTTTTTAAAATTAATTTGATATGGCAAGTATCATTATAGAATTCAGTTGAGCATAACAATTAATCAAATTTTAATGTATTTTTTATACACTAAATGTTTTAATATAGCAGTAAGTTTGGTACTACTTGATCAGATGGCTATGAATAAAGTGAGGTCTTTGGTTTCATTGAAATAGATGGGTGGTATCTAAACAGTCTATTCAATATTTCTTTGAATTTGTTTGTTTCTGAATAGATTTTATTCTCTTGGTCAATTTATTTTACAACTAAAAACACTGTAAAGAATCAACACTTTATTAAGTGTGATAATAAATTCCAAATATTACTATTGATTTCATATTCAAAAAATGAATTCAACCAGGACATGCAAAATAAATATCAACTGTCATCCATTACTTTCCATAGACACACACACAATAGCCAACTAGACCTTATTTATAAGATGCTTAGTGCTACCACATAAGGATTATAAAATCAACTTTTACAACATTTAATAGAAGTGTATTAATTGAAATGAAACTCAATAATTAAATTTTCCAACTATTCTTATATGAAATTTTAATATTCTAATATTTATACTTTATTTTAGGATATTTTTCTTTCTTACTCAAAAGTTCTGCCTAGTTTTTTGTATATGTTACTCCTTATTTCTTTTTAAATGTCTAAGAATCCTTTTTTTCATTTGAGAATCAGATTATGATCTCAAATCATAGATTCCCTTTGCCTAGATGCTTCAGCTTCACTATATCAATCATGAGCATACATTTACCATTCAACTTCTCTGTTACAATAGGTTTTCTGTCTCTTGTACTGATTATTTGATATCATTGTAGTAGAATTTTTCTACGCAATATGTACCGCTTATCAGTAAGCTTTAATATACTCTACCTATCAGCAGAGTTCTCCTGAATATACGTGTTCAGGAAAGATCCATTAATGGGGGAGATGAATCATACCACAATCATTATGCTAAAGTCATTAACAGAGATGATCATTTGTCTTCCATCATTTTAAAAGAAGGTGCAAGAAAATCTGGCAGGACACAACTATTTTTCAATTTCCACAAGTCAACAAAGACTTTCTCCTTGTTATAGATACAGGCTTTTGTCTAAATGCCTCTATATTTTCTCACACAGACATAAAATAAAGCTTGAGATTCCAATTTTAAAATTATTTTTTATTTGTATTTTCAAATATTTTCAATTCTACTACAGGTGCTGACCGTTTCTACAGTGACATCACACTGATGATTGGTTATACTCCAAGTAGCTGGTGGAAAATCTCCTGGAGATTCATTACTCCACTTATCACACTGGTAAGACTCCTTTCAGATCAGTTTTTACATTACTAGTTTTTTTTTTTATAATATAAATGATCTCAATATTTTAATAATATTCTTAAGAATTTTTGACATTGCAAAAAAAAAAGTTATATAATGATAAAAATTCAGATTAAAAGCTAATTAATGAAATATTACTAGTTTTCTTTTCTGTAAATAGATACAAGATATTCATTTAAATTAATTTGTTTATGAATGATGATTTTTTTTTTTTAAATTCTTATTAATATAATCTTATAGGAAAGCATCAGAAAGAATTTAAATTTAGTAATATAGAACAATTTCAAGCAAAAGCCTGCTTGTTTTTACCAACCATTCAAATTAAAAGAAATATTCCTGATGTTGACAATTGAAGTAGATTGTCATTCTTGAATATTTTTCAATGTGACATCCTGGAAAAGCTTTATCTCAAATTATATACAGATGAAATACTACAATTAGGACATTTATAATATAAAAGAAATTTCTTGTTTTTTCTTATAAATTTGATAATTGAATAAAAAAATTTATGAAATAATTTTTATTCTTCAAAACAGTTTGTATGGTTATTCAGCATCAGTAAACTGAGCCCTGTTACTTATGGAGATTATCAATACCCGACTTGGTCTATCGTGTTTGGTTGGGTGCTTGGAATGGTATCATTAGTACCTTTGCCAGCTGTAATGATATCACAGATTTTCCAGACTAAAGGAACTTTTATTGAGGTAAATATATTGAGGCTATTTCATATATAAATTAGTTTGTACATTAACTGACAATTACAGTTTTATAGCTTATGTATTTTATTATTTTAGCACATAAAAGATAATAAAAGTATTTCTTTACTCCATAAACTATACATAAAAATTATCCTTATTACTATGAATAGTTAAAACAAATTTACAAATATCTGTACTTTCAAAGTATTAAATGTCTACACTACAGGATCAAGTTGAACTGTATTTCAAGATATAAAAATTAGTTCTTTTGATATCTTGACATTTTACCAATAAAAATTAGATTTATTATTTTAGAAATTATTACAAAGTTTTTGCACCTCATTTTATGTCTCTTTCTTTTCGTTACAGAGAGTGAAAAAGTTGATTCACCCTGATCCTAAATGGGGACCAGCCCTTCCACAATACAGAGATCAATACATTGCTTCTCTTAGTTTCAGTGACCGTCAACGTATGCTACGTCACATCATGGAAAATGAGAAAGATGGACCTCATGATATGTCTATCATTGGTGAACATGCAAAGATGCTTCAACTACAGTTAGATTCTGTATGTTGATGCTAAGGATTAAAAGACTATTTCTTTTACACAACCAAGTACTATAAATAGATGTAAAATAAATTTGCATACCCATATACATACAAAACAAACCCGGGACTTACCAGGCATTTGCATGATTATATGACCCAAGAAGGGATCATTTAATGTGGAGGATTCACCTTTGTGCTGTTCATAAAGGTTTATCAATGTCAAAGCCAGGTAAAAGGCATTCGATGCCTGACTGCATCCTTCGTGTGGAGAGGTCTCAATGGTTATAGCCAGAGTCAATGGGGGAAAAAGCTGAAAAAAATAATCATTAAGTAAATAAAAATAAGGTGCATATTTGGTTGGATGGAGTTTTATAAAAACAAAAGTCCTAATGTTGTATTCAACCAATGAAATCCTTACTAATTAAATGATAACTTTTTTAAGGCTTTTTAAACATATCATTTGTACAAATAGTTCTCTAAGCATTGGAAACCTACAGATTATATATAATCATAATAATATAGCATATATTTAATTCTATGTGAAAGGAAATATCTTTAACCTCAACTTTAGAAATTAAAAGAATTCCTTTTTGCTTTATTTTTTTTAATTAGAGGGGAAAATGAAACAATATGACCAGTATGAAATTTAGATGAAAAGTTTATTCCCAAAAGATATATATATATATATAAATATATATATATATATATATATATATTATAAATGGTGACATTTATTCATTTACCTAATAAGGAAAGATAGTTTACTTCAACCCATAAAAATCCTTAAAGCACCAAATTTAAAATTTTAAAAATTCAGCTTCAAGCTTAATTCTTGATTAGTTGGGGTAACACCATCATCAACCCAACAATCCTCCTACTCTGTGAGAAAAATAAAAATACAGAACTGCATTAAAATGATCCACAAATCTAGCAGGTTTAATGCAATAACCAAAGCTGAAATGTGATTGCTTTTTACCTGTCCCAGTGCAGTTTTAGAATCAATAAAAAAAAAAAAAATAATAAATTCACTTTTCACATTATCTTGATTTCAATGTTTTGTTTAGTCTCAATTGTTAACAAACTCAGTTTACATGAGTATTCTTTTCTCTTTTTAAAAAGCTAAATCTAGCATTTAGCCATAAAGTAACATCAGTGTCTTACCACTTAATATTTCTTATTTTTTTAGTATAATTTTATTAAAAAATCTTAAGTAATTTATATTAATTTATAGCAGTTCATTAAAAACAAATTACTGCTAATAGACTACTTTTCCATTTTAATGTAATATTAAAAAAATTATTACTTGTTCAATCTTTTAATTTTTCTATTATCTGCTGTTTATTTTATAAACTTTAAACATATTACTTTTGTAGAAATCTAATTAAAGGAATAAAAACTGCTGCAGTTTTTTTTTCAGCTAATATATATATATATATATATATATATATATATATATATATATATATATATATATATAAAGAGAGAAAAGAGACCCACATTTGCCTTTCAAAGAAATATGCTAAATTTTTTAAAAGCAAATACACAAAATTTTTATTTACCAAAAAACCTTTATAATTGAAATAAAAAAAAAACTTTAAGTAATTCATTTTTACTAAGAAACAGCATTTTTGTATAACAAGACTTTGGGGCAAATTTTAAGTCACCATGATAAAATTTTTGTTTTGAAAATATCATTCACGAAAGTTTAATATGACATTAAGCAGTTCCTTTTCATCTAGTTATATAAGTACCACTCAATATTAAAGTATTCTTTTAAATGATTGCCACTTGAACTTGACAACACCATTGCTGATGTTATATCAGGGTAATAATCTTTTACATATCAAATTATCTTTAAACTAAAATAACAAAATTTTGCACCAATTCAAATTTACTACTTAAAAATCAATAAATTTATTAAATTATCAGTCAACTAGGAGCATTAATTTTGGCTGAAACAGTTTTCAATATTAAGGTAAACTAGATGCAAATGTTGACTTTTTGAAATCAAAATTCATAAACCAATACTTTTTTTGGCTTATCTTTTCCTTCCAGTACCAAATATTTAAAAGTTAAAATTTTATATATATATATATATATATATATATATATATATATATATATATATATATAAAAAAAGCAAGAATTGCAATGTTGTATTAAAATTATAGTAATATACAATTTGTTTTAAAAGTTTAAATAAAGACTGGCAAAAAATATTCTATTAAAATTTCATATGCAAGTATAATGAATAAATTGTTTCCATGTGGAAAATAAGTTATAACTAGTATCAGCTAAATGAATATATACTTTATACAGAGTGCTAGAGTCTCAATTTTATTTGAAATATCTTTCTTTTATGTAAATGAATATGAACCAAAAATAATCTAGAAAGAAAACTAAAGACATTTTGAGAACCCTTTGCTAACATGATACAAAATCTCTCACAAAAACAATGCATCACAATTCATTTCATGATTTTAATATTTATTGTATATAAGCTGTCATGGAAGTGACAGATTGAAGTTTCAGTTACACTGGAACATAACTGCATCTCTAAGCAGTTTGGTTATATAACCATATATTATATATGTATATACATTCATATAGTGGCTACATAGTCTAAATTCAATTCTTTAAAAATATATCTATATATAAAATTATTTTGAACTCCATCATGTATCCCTCCATGAAATCCCTAATATATTAATTTATTCATTTTAGCATCAGAATATCATATAAAATAATTTTTAATACATTACAGAAAGTTTTTTCTTTTAAAATATTAATTTTTCATATAATTTATCCAACACTTAACATCTATAGTATTTGAATGAAAGTGATTGAAATTTGGTATTTTAATTTCAAATCATTAATTTTGCATGCCTAATAGCTTTAATTGTTCTGATAATTAGCAGTTATTTAATTAGCTTCTTTTTTTATTTTCACCTCTTTAGTTCTATGCTCAATAAAATTCTTCTTTAAAGTTTTAAACATTTTTTTCTTTACTTCACGCTTCATTTATTATATTTTCCCATTATATAAATAGTAACATTTTATTTCAAATTTCTTTATATATTAAGCTCCATTCAGTCCTCCAGGTGTACTCAATATCTACCAGGTTAAAGAGAAAACTTATTCATATTAGGCTATCATATTTTCTCCTTTAAATAACAAGGTTTGCATCAGTATTTTTTTTTTTTTTTACATGTTTCAATTATGTATGTCATTGGGTCCAAATACATGGAAAAGCAAATTTTGTTTATCTTTTTTTAATAAAATCTTTTTTTAAAAAAATTATTGCATATTGTTTTACTTCACTTTCAATTTGCTTTGTTTATGCCTTCCAGCATAGCTTTTAGCATGTATGTATGCCTCTTTGCAACTATCTTCTAATCCAAAACATTGTGTCATTTTAAAACAGTCATCACAATCACAAGTTGATCAGGATTTAAAAATTTAAAGCACACTTTACTAATATCCTTTATTGATTCACCTATTGAGTAGACCTATTTTCTTCTTCAAAAAACAAGTTAGTGAAGTTCATTGTAAGAAAGAAGAAAACAAAATTGAGTTTCTTCACATCAACTAGAAACAACATTAATGGAACATATTTTTAAATGGATAAAAGATAAATTTTACCAATTTATAAATATCTAAGATGCATCATAATTAACTGACAGCAACAAAACATGAACAAATAAATAAAAAAATAAATTTAGAGAGACAAATTCTATTTGCTTCAATCCAATGATAACTTGTTATCTCAGTATTTTTATGATTGAATATATGTTTGCAGGATTGAAAATTTTTTGATACATAACTTTCTTAGAAACATTGGCACTATATAATGTTAGCAACTAATGATCAACTTTGAGATTATATCATAAAAACCCATGCTTTACACATATGCCACAATAATTTTCTTTTTATCTTACTATATGCAGACATTTATGTGACTGTAAAATTAAATCGGGATTCTTATTCTGTACTAATCATCTCTACATATCAGTTAAAAATGTTCATACTACGATGATTGTAATATTGTCAAAAGTAATAAAAATGCACTCTTATAATTCTTGTATTATGAATCAAAACAATTTGCATTATTCAAAAGGTATTGTCAGAAGAGCAACAATTTTAATAAGAAGAAAATTCTGATGCTACTGTAACTCAGTACCAAAGAACAACCTTTCCTCTTACAAGTAGAATACAATACTGTAGTAAGAAAAATACATTTATAATATTCGTGAAACTGAAACTTTGACAAGAACATAATACAGTTAGAAATCTGTATAAGAAAAATCTTTTCAATCATATGAAGAAAATATGTAAATATGGTTACTACAAAAAAATTTAAGATCAATAAAATGCTTAAAATTTGCATGCAAATATATAACTTTGCTTGAAGACTTGCACAATGCACAATTGCCTATCCACATAGATGTCAGTCACCAAGGCTAAATCATATGTATTTCACAAGGCTTAGTACACCATGCTCCAATGCTGTATATTTTTTTTTGCTATACAAATATATATTTATTCATAATATAGAAGGGATTACTACATGACAGAAAACTAATAAAAACTGTGTAAATATTAAAGATTGATTACCACCATATTCACATCATAATTCACTTGTAGCAGAAAGTCCCTAAAAAATATAGTTCTTAGGAAAAGCATTTTTATATATTCATAAGTGAAAAAAATAACAACCGTGTACAATCATTATCAGTGTTTAGCAGCAATTGATTAGCTGCTAAACAGACCATCATGTAATTTTAGCCCAAACAATTCATCATGTATTTTACAACATGCAACATGTGGCAAAGACAAAAACAGCTATCAACAGAGGACAGTGGAGATAAAATAAATTGTAAATATACTATAAATAAATAGAAAATAAACACATGCTTTAAACTTACATGCATATAAAATATCTAACAACAGTACTAGTGTAGCTTATGGCATAAAGCAAAATAAATATATCATTTAAAGAATGCATGCTTGGTATCATCAAGAAAATGA